AATAAAGAAATTAAGATAATCATTTGTAATGACATTGGTGACAGATTTTTTTTTTTTTTTCCTACACTTTCAGCAAAGTGTGATGTTTGGGTATCCCCTCCTTCCTTTAAGAAAATTGAACTGATTCCAGTAAAATGTTCATTTTAATATTCTAAAATTGTCTAAAGATAATTTTAGGTAGATGTTCCTGAAAACACACCTGAGAATAAGCTGATTATTATAACTTGTACATTCAACCTGACTAAGAGCTGTTTTCTGTCAAAGTGTTCTGCAGAAAAAATGGATTACATACAGTTTTTGTTGTTTGATTCTGAGTTTTTTGTCTGTCTTGTTCACTGCTCCTCTTAATACAACCTGAGCAGTGAACTCTCTGCTCCAGATGCTCAAAAAGCAGGAGTTGAAGACACCTGCTGGCAGACAAAGGAGAGAGGCCATCTTTCAGGAGATTTTTTGATAGTAGTTTTAGAATTGTGTATTGCTAACTCACAGTTAACTATATGAATACTTAGTTATGAAGCTCAGGAATACACAGATTTTTCTACAAATCTACTTTTCTTTTACCAATTTAATAAAAAAAAAATGCAAAAAAAATATTAGTAAATTTTCATTTTTAGTTATGACTTCTTTGAAGTTAGCACTAAGACTAACAATCACTCATCTGGGTATAACTGTTTCTCTTTGACAGACTGGAGGGCACATTGCAGGCCACTTTGTCAACATAGCGGCAGCATCGCTGTGCTGCCCAAAGATATCAAGAGTGTGGTGTCATGACCCGTTGCCAATACTTAAAATAAATCCCAAAATCGACCGATGTGCAGAGAAGGAAGGATGTGTTTGCTCATCCATGTTTTTCATGTGCTGCTTGATTGAAACAGATGCTTACCATTTGGTTCATGAAGCAGGTCACAAAGAGTTGTCAGATGTCTGAATTACAGATGCAAACAAAGTTAGTTGTTTTTTAGAGCAGTGACATTTGCAATTTGAGACAAATGTTGTGCCTCCGTCTAAAAGAATGTTGTTACCAAGATTCTACAGAGAACAAACATTTATCCATTACTTGTATTACTAGCATGCAAAAAAATTTCACTATACAGGAGTTCTTTAAAGAAAAAAACAAATAAATCATGCGCTTTTCTATCATGGACTGATCTGAGAATTTGACCTGGAAAGTATGGTTTTATATTAAATTTTAAAAGATCGAAATGGAACCTGAATCCATGTGCAGGTAGGCGATGCTTAAATAGTTTCCTTTTTATATTCAAAACACAATCTGTCACTGGGATATGAATTATACTGAGATGCATTAACTGCTGTCATATTTATTTATTTTTTTTTCTCCACTGCTCTCATAAGCTGAAATGCCAATTGGGAACAGCTCAAAATCTTGTGTTAATACCAGGGAATCCTGAAATACTCCTGTCAAGAGGAAAAATTTAGACGTTTTTGTTTGCGAGAAGCTACTTGTCATCTTCACTGCAACTGACAGATTGTCAGGCTGAAGCAGTGTGGAGAGAAATCTGCTTTCGTTGCCCCCACACTGTACCTGATAATAGTCACAACAATTAAACAGCTTTGCACTCTGCTGAGTTCTCAGCTGAGCACATGTTGGTTGTCAGAGTGAGAAAATCTGACACCAGGCAGGGGGAACACAGACTGTTCTGTTAAAATTCCTTTTGTTGTTGAAAATTATCTTCAATTAAAGTGCATTAGAGTTTTTTAAAACCTAAATCTGTCCTCTATTTCAGCCACACCATCACTTCCAGTCTTGTCCTGAATGATTATGTGAGCTTGACAAAACTCTGTTTTTTAAGAAAGTCAGTGCTATGTCCCATTTTCCATATCATTATTTCTTGTTTTTCTGTGGTGTGGCTTTGTGAGGAAATCGTCTTACGCTTCCAGTATCAAGGTGGAGTATCTCTGGAAGCGTGGCCTCTAACCTGTCTTTATGAATACATTTCATAACTTGCTACAGTGGCTTAGATGAGAACGGATAAGCCTGCTGTGGATGAAACCGAAAACACCAAGCAAACTCCAAATACCACAGGAAGAGGGAAAACATTTTTTCCTTTTACATTACTGCTATGTTCTTGGGTTGGTTGTAAAGAAATCAGATTGACATGTTAAAGCATTTCTTTTTTTTTTTTTTTTTCCTTAAACATATACTGGTATTTTCAGCTTCTATGTTTCTTGGGCAACCAGTAGGTCGACTATTTTAAATGAGAGTCAGTCAGGTAACCTGTTTTTAGGACTTTTACACCTCAAGTTTGAAGAAGTAGGCTGGAGATTATCCTTCCTGACCCCCTCACACCAACAAACTCTTACAAATCTCTCCCTTGGACAGGAGCTACAGTAGCTACCAAACGGCCTTTAGACACAAAATTAGTAGGTTTTCCATAACCCACTTTGTCACATGGTCATCATGACTTACAATGCCTGAAGAGTAGCACGTTATGGTCCGTGTTTTTAACACAGCATACCACTGTGACATCTAATTTTGTTCAAAATTATTGCCTAAATGCTGAAAATACTGAGAGCAACAATATAAGTACACTTATATAGTGTACTTTAGGAAAGTACACTATATAACAGAAGGGGAGACAAATAGAGAGATAGATTTATTCATATTTACTGTATTAACTTATGTTTGATTTACTAGTTAACTGTTATATTTAACAATAAAGTAGGCATCTGTAATTGAATCTGTTGCATAACAAACGGCATCACTGGGATTCCAGTTTTATAACACTTTCATCATTTTATCTTGTCTATTCTTACTGCTGTGCAGTTGTTTAAAACTTATCCAAGTGGTTTAATTTATCTTGTTGAAATGTCGGCCCAGCATCTGTCCAGATTGGGGATTTCTCAGCTGAGTATGATAATACTTACATTCATCATACAGGAGAACAGCTCCAAAATAAGTCAGCAACAGAGACATTTTTAAACTTGCGTGTCTGCGTTTTTCCCCCAGGAACTCAATAAGAAGATAAAATATTGCACCATTTCTAAAGATTTATTGTTTCTTCCATAGAAAGAAACGGCTAAATGCTCAAATGAAGATGCATTTAAATACAGTACTATGCATAGATGTAACAATGTTACCAATGTGACAATGAAATGATTTTAGCATCAATATTATTTTATATATATTTTTTCTTTGAAAGCATCACATTTTACAGTACATTGCTTTTGGTTACATTCTGAGCTTCAAAATGAACATGTCTAATTATGTTTCTGAAGTAGCTTTTACATTCAATAATCTATTTACAAGTTTTGTATTCACTGCTTCACATTTAATTTGTGGCCAATGACAAGCTACAATAAAACTTCCAGATCATTTTAACCAGCATACCCTTTTATTTTCGGCCAGGTTGGACTTTTCATCATAATACGGGAGGCTGGGAGACATTCCCTTTAAGAGAGATGTTTCACATCAAAGCTTATCTGGTTAGGTGTGCCGCAGCCTTCAGGTCTGCTGTCTATATTAGACAGTGCATGTGGTGAAGACACAGCTTAGGAGAATACACGGCTGTTTTCATTAAAATCATGTTTTGCAGACTGCTCCTCCATCTTGTTTTGTTTTGACACACACAAACGTGGCCAGTTGTCATCAAAAAAAAGGCACGCTCTGTATCATTACCAGGAAGCCCTGCTGCCTCCTTTCTGTCTTGTTCTCAGCAATCCATGTGGATGAAAAATTATATTTACACAAACACAGTTTTATCCATTAGAAAAACAGCAAAATCACATGTGTGAGGAATTGAAATGATCACAAAGCTTTGTGATAATTAGCTGACCTACATGTCATGCTACTGAGTGGTGCATGTAGTCCTTCTCTTTCCGTAGTGGATCACAGATATCTTTACAGGAGTCGGGCAAAACTACCAATATACAAACATCTGTAACCAAATCAATCACAGTATGAAAAAAGTTAGTTTAATGAAAATAATCCTTTTTTCTACACGCCTATGCTTTCACTTGATGGCAATGTGAGGCATTTCATTTTCAAAGCAACCCTGGATCCAAAGCAAATATTCATCCTAACTAAAGGTATCATGATCCTGCTTTATTTGCAGTTTGGAAGAAGGAATGTAAATGATGATAGATTCTCCAGAAAAAAAAAAAAAAAAAAAAAAAAAAAAAACACCGCCTAATTTTGCCAACGGACCAGCATTTCCTCCGCCGTCCTGACAGAAAACACAGCTCCACACACACTGGCTCGGAAGTTCCTTAGTTTTACATAGTTGAGTTTAGTTGAGTGTTACTAACTTTGTGAGTTTGTTCACCAAACTACTTAACTGAAGGATTGAATTCTTATTAACAAATTTGTCTTACTTTAAAAATAAGTTATGTTTATTCTATACATTTGTAAAGTTAAGCTGTCTGTGAATGTGTTGAGCTTAATCCTTCATCTATTGTTGTTCTAATATCCATACCCTGTCAGGTAGGCGTTCATAAGCAAGGCTGAACTACTTTACTACCACCGATACAAATATTTTGGTAACTTTGATAAATAACTAATTTTGGTAATAAATGCCTTTGGCCTTTATTAATAACTATCTATAGCCAAACCAGGCTGTTATTGCACAACAGAGCTCTCAGAACACATCACAGAAACTAACTTACATTTATGCTCCACACCTGGAACACTTAAATAGAAACAGTGATTTATTTCAATACAAGATCCATACTTTAAAAGAAGAAAAACTTTTTTGCCCCAAGATCATTTTTAAGTTCAATATTCTTTTCTACTTTTTGCAGAATTATCATTGCTACAGTTTTTTTTTTAAATCAATGAGCTAGTTGAGTCTGTGTTTTAATTTTACATTTTTAGAATCATTTCTCTCACTACATCCTATGCAAAACATTTTGTCTTGTGTGTGTAACTGCCTCTTCATACGCGGTATAAACCACCATAGCCTTGTGCCGGTATGTTATCCTTCCCCACAGCTGCACTGAAGGCCACTTTATGCTTTTAATGTTATCGGTATATCTGTGTACAGATACCCCAGGTGAGCTACGCCTCTACAGCGCCGGAGCTGAGTGACAACACCCGCTACGACTTCTTCTCCCGTGTGGTGCCTCCAGACACATATCAGGCCCAGGCCATGGTGGACATTGTTAAGGCCATGCGCTGGAACTTTGTCTCCACTGTGGCCTCAGAGGGAAACTACGGAGAGAGCGGAGTTGATGCTTTCATTCAGAAGTCTCGGGAGGATGGTGAGTACACCTGTCCCCGGATGGCATTTTGCACCACTTAGTCTCTTGACTCAGCGTAATAAGTTAAACTCATAAATTTCTTCAAAAAAAATAAGAAATTACATCTACTGTTATTGCAAAGTAAATAATGGGGAGAAAACCTGTTGGAGAACCATGAGGTAAACAAATAGTTTAAAAGATGACCACAAGAAAGTAAAGTATATAGTTACATTTTTAATCATTTTTTTAGCAATAGGCTGATTAAAGGTTGACTCACTCACAAAATGGTGAGTGGTTTGGTTCAATGCACTTTTTTCCAATACAATAGTTTTCTCTACTATCATTTGATTTTCAGCTTTGTGTCTGTAGGGAGTAAGGGTGCTATAATTCTAGAGATATTACCTGTAAATTATCCATAAAACTCAAAACTAAATATAACAATTTAACATCATTAGACTTTGAGGATATAATTACTTTTACAGTGAAAAGAAAAAAGAAAGAAGATGTGTCTTAATTTCTATTGTTTTAAGTAAACTAAGGAGCAGAGGCAGAAAGCTGACAGATTACAAATCATGGTAGATTTCAAGTACTTAAACTTTCTGTGACATGATTCAGCATCAGACAAACAAAAAGATTCAGATTGTCAAAAAACAAACAGATGTGATTGGGAGTAGATTTCAGATTATTCTCTCAAAGAATCTACTACCATAGTATATTACTCCTAAAAAGGATAAATAATGAATAAATAAAAAGATAAGTAATGATTTTGCCATTTTGCTAGACAGGACGTGTGTTTGGATGCACCTATTAGTGCATCCATGTATGTGTGTGCTTGCTAGCTTCAAGGCAGCTTTTTTGTCAGTATAAAAATAAGAAACTGCAGAAGAAAACAGGTTGCAAACTACTAATCAGGCTCACAGCTTCCTTTGCTGACCTACTGGTGCCCTCTCACCCTTCACTAGGCTACTGGTGTGAAGCTTACATTTAGTGCATACTCTGAGCCCAACCATACACACATAACAAACCAAGACAAAGTGAACAAAAAGGTGCATTTTTTTTTAGGAACTGCTCGATTTCTAAACTCACATTCTAAAAAAAGACATTGTGACAAAATGAAAGCCCATGTAACATTCTTACTCATAGCTGCCAAACATTTTGAGGAGATGTTGCTTTATGTTGCTTGAATGTACAAGTAAGCACATTCTAGCTGTCATATTAATTCTGAAAGACTGTCAGGTCTAAGTCTTTAAGTTTAACACCTGGAACAGAAGCTTGAAACAACAGTGATGATGTTCTGCTGTATTTTTTGTATTTTAGGCTCATATCTATTTTCTCTGAATCACACCTGCATGTTGATTTTCCCTTAACGCCACAAAGGGCTGTTAAAAGTATTTATCCATCACAGATTTCTTTTATTTTTGCTGTTTTGTCACTTAAATATTCCAGATTATTTAATACATTTTAATATCAGACAGAGAAAATCTCAGTAAACACAAAAGGCAATTTTCAAATTATGATTTCACTCAATAAGGGAAATAGCTATCCAAAGCAAACTGGCTCTATCTGAAACAGTAATTGTCTTCTAACTGGAATTACGCCTTTAACATTTCCGTGGATGATCATCAGAAAGTTTGTTGTGGCTAGCATTAGTTTTGACCTTGAAACTTATATGGATGCCTCTTTTTCCAGTCTAACTTGTCAAATCTAAGACATCAACCCTAGCTGAGGAAAGTGAGGCCTTCAGTACTTAAATGCTGTTCTGTATTCATTTGTGGCATCCTAGAAGAATTGTTGGTGCATTCTCTGTTCCATGTTTTCTCCATTTGTGGAATATGAGTCCCAAAGTTACATGGCTTGTAACTTTTTCCAGGTTGTTAGAAATCAACTATTTTCTCATTTGTTTTGCATTTCTTTAGATCAGTGTGTGATGTTTTGGTTCTTGAGATATGTTAGCCTTCGTCCTGTTGTCAGGATTTAAAAGGGATTTTTTGATTCAACAGGTAAGAAGTCAAACCTGGGTATGGACAGCAAAAATACGGAATTATATATTTCTCATCGAGCTAGGTTAATTTAGATAGCTTTTTTTCCCTTAAGAAAGAACACCACAGTTAAAAAAAACAGTTTTTTATACATACTGTGATTGTTCGAAAAAAATATAATAGTCGATCTGACACCTCTAAGTGTGACCAAAAAAAAAAAAGCATAAATGTAAGAAATCTATGAGGGTCTTCTATAATCAGCAAAGTACTCAACAAGAAGAATTATCGAGTAGTGTGATTCCATGTCATAACACCTTCTATTAGAGATAGACAATAATCTGTATATTAAAAACACATAACTCCTACAGATATTACACAAAGTTAACAATAGGTGTTTTTGGACTCTCCATCCAGTTGCTTTAGGTGTGTTTACTCTGTTTTACTGAAAGAGCTCCCGTGATATTTGACTGCTTTGGTTGACTAAGTGCAACTGTAATTAAAAAATGCACTTTAAGATACCCCAGTGATGTCTCTGTCTTACACTGTGCCTACAAAAGAAAAAAAAAACTTATATATATATATATATATATATATATATATATATATATATATATATATATATTTATTTCTCTACTCAGATAAAGTCCTTGGGATGCTTCATGCAGAAAGAATGTTTTTCCTTAACCCTCAGCAGACTTGTTCCCAAGAGATTAATAGAACAAAGTGACAGACTGAGTCGATGAACAACATCTAAGTTTTTTTTTTTTTCTTTTTGTAGGCACAGTATATATATTATATATATATATTCCTTGGAAACTGTTTTAAACATAACTTTGATCAGATTTGCTTAGTTAATGTCCTCAAAATGAATATTGCAGGCCTAATGTACTCTTGCAATGTCTCCAAATAAAACAATCCACTTCTGTTTCATGTTATCACCTTTGGGGAAGACATGAAGGCATAAAAACAGAAGTCTCTTTCTGTCTCAATTCAAGAGAGATGGATGATGGGAATCCCAAAGTTACTCGTACTTTATCTGCCAATCCACTGTAATACTTTCGGAGCTCCTCTAGCATAGTAGTTTGTGGAAAGGAATAGATCTGGGATAAGCTGGAAGTTGCTGTGTCATTTCTAAAGGAGACCAAAATCACCTTACTTGATCCATCTGAAATTCATAAACATATCTACACTATAAGATCTGACCATCACTTAAAACAAATGAGGCGAGCTATGCTCATAAAATAAGGTATGACCTCATTGAAAAATATCTCCTGTGAGGAACGTTACCCAGTAAAAGAGCTGTTGCTCTAAAATATATCAAGATGGTTCCATCCTTCCTATTAGCTTTATTATTCCACCCTAGACACCATAAAAGGAGGAGGCAATCATTCCAAACCTTATGCACCACACTCAGAGGCCCTGACCATGGATATTTTTCAACTGATATTTTTCCATTTACTTGGGAAAAAAATGTCAGACAATTAGACTTTCTGAAAAAAAAAAAAAAAGATGAAATAGCACTTCAAATCATATACTTAGGAAAGTTAATTTTTTCTAATCATGAAGAAAACTTAGAAAGTCATGTTTTCTAAGAACATGATTTTTATTGGTGACAGCCTATCACACATTAACATGGGTGCAGGTAAAATGGTATAAACAACGCAAGTTTTGTTGTGATTTCCAGCCAACAAAGATGTGAGCATAGACCCCAAAGACAGAGCTCAGTGTTTGTTAGTTTTTTAAAATCATTCCTTTATATATCATCACAGATATACATAAACAAGATTTTAATAAGAATCTCAAATTTGGAAAATGTATTTTTTTCTCAACAAATCAGCCAATTGTACAACCAAGAAAATAAGCTCATTTTGTGAAATAGCCATGTTGGTTTAGAAAGATTAAAAAAAGCAAGATGAGGTGGTACAAAGTCGTGTTGCTACTAAGATATAGCATAGATGTTTATAATATCCATCACTCTAGAATACAAAGGAAAGTGTCATTAGCATTTTCAATGCCTTGTGGCATTTTAGCAAATAACACTACACCCCTATTTGGAAGGTGTTGAAAACAACAGGAAAATGGTCCAAAAACCACCTACTGTTAAATGTAACATTTGTAGGCGATATATTGGATCTCGAGTCTTGTTTCTCTGAACTGCAAGGTGCTAAATGTGATACTGGATTACCTGCATACTATCAGATCTTTGTAGCATTGGCTCAAATAACTCAAAGCGGATTGATAGATCTAAGCCTAGCATACTTCTTTATCAATGTAGGAACAGTATTTTTCTCTTGTTTGTCTGGAAGATCTGAAAGTTCCTCTAATGTATGAATACACACAATGCAAATACATTTGTTATTTCCTTGCATTGCTAGTAGTATAGCAGATAGTGTGGACACTCAGAACAACAATCCAATAAAAAATTGGATATTAGGACAGGAATATTATGTGATACAGTGAACAAAAATGCTGATTCAGTGAGGCTGATTCAGCAACCTTATTGTCATTTTTCTGCCTTGATAACCATTTGTTGTGGCACTGACAGAGTTCAGTGGATGCCCACCTATTCACAGTTCAGTATTCATGGATTCACCTATTCACCAAAAAATTGCCATTTTACAGATTTCTTTTGTAGAGTTCATCTTAAGCATTCAGAAGAAAATGTAGCTTTTGAAAATGAAATATTGCACAATGCTTCATGACACGCCTTTAGCTGGCGTTTGCAGAGCAGCCAATCCAGAAGTGCTTTTCATTGTCCTTGATTAGCTGAACCACCAACAGCGTAGATAAAGAAAGAAAGCCATGGCTGTTAACTCCTGAAGAACTGACAAAATGGTTCCCACTGTGTATATAAACGCACACTAACATACATTTGGTGTTTCAACTATTATAATAGGCAATTATTATAATAGTTGCCTCATGTATTTGAAGATTTAAGCTACTTGCAATCTGTTGTGGTTCCTAACCCCCACCAATACAGGTGGCCCACTCTAGTATGCTTTTACCCTGAGTAGTTGTCAGCCTAAACCTTTATAGTTTCTCTTTCTTCAGTGATCATGTAAAGTATGTTGATTCTGTAAGCTTTTTTTATGAATATGAACAAGAATTTCCTCAGATATGGAAAAAGCTAGACTCATAGAACTCATCAGATTTTCTTTGTGAGTGAATAAATTTCTTCAATCAACACTTAACAAATCAAATCAGTTTAAAAGGCCCAGAAGAACCTACAGATCATTTTCTACATATGATTAGCTTACAGCTTGAGGTCTTACGAGAAATTTTAGTCTGCGCTCTGCTTCAACAGCATTAAGTAAGCAAACTAATCAGTCTGTTACAAAATTCTACACAATCTGTAAATACTAACACGACTGCTGCTCTTACCAAATCACACGGGATCAGTAAGAGTTAAATACACAAAGGTAATACCTGATGAGGCAAATTATTTGAATTATCTTCCATACCAATGACCCCAGATGCCCTGGAGTCACCTGTTTGCCGTTGTACCAGCAGACTTTTCTCTCTAAGGAGCGATAATAACATATCTGTGCACATTGTGAGCAAGAAGCGGATGATGATGAAAGGTAAATATGAATTCCAGGTGGGGTTGTTTTGGTCTTTGCTGGCCTCTCTTCGCGGTGAGAGAAAAAGGAATATAGAGCTGTGAATTGGTAACCTTCAGACTTCCTTTTTTCTTGGAGGTGACCAGTATTTCATCTCAAAGGTGTTGTTGCTGAATGCGAAGCCTTCTACCCCGTTTCACTCTCCTGAGTAATACGTACTGGATAAGATGTAAAATTCAAAGATAAGCACTAAAAAAGAAATCACATGGAAAAAGACTTGTGCTTGTCCATTTGTAAATTAAAAGGTATTAAGCGAGATAATTATAGGATTGCAACTTTGCATATAATGTTTGTTAAAAACATGAGATAAATAATTCAAGATGAAAGACGTAAGTATCTCATTGTCCAGACAATGTGGATATTGAAGCAAAATAAAACATTTAAATCACCTGCAACCCTTTTTGCTTCTTATTGCCTTATAGTTACCTACCAGCTGGACATTTTTATCATCAGTGTAGTCATCATAATTACAAAGTTTCATAATGAAAATGGTCAATATGTACAGTACAATTTTGTGAAAAACACAGATCAGGATTAGTCATTTTACCAGATCAATACAAGATTGAAATGTAAGGTGACAAATCAAAATTAGTATGAGTTTAATTTCTTGATAGGTTTGTACTTTTAGCATACTGTATTTCTCCTGTTGTCAGATAATATCTTTATCTTTCTCTCAGAGAAAAATAAACATAACGCATTTAATGGATATTTGTGTTTGTCAAGGGGCATCCATCCGTTTCTGTTTGGAGCTTTAAGACAAATTCTTACTGGTCTCACAATGGCATCTAACATTTGGAAAGGATCCATACTGTGCAGCAAAAGAAAGCAGCATGCCGTGTTCAGGTCGCATCACTTGTAATCTTGATTGATGATGATGATTATCATCGTCTTCCTGACCTCATTCACTTCAGATCCCAGCATCCTCCTTATTTCTTCTGTTTCCTTATAAGCTCCATTGTGTTCTGGATCACTGACAAAAAACATTTTGATTAATCCAATAAATTTTAATTAAACAGCCATATTTGAGCAGTCAACTATCATTTCCATTTAAAAATAGGTTTTTGTCCTCGAGTTAATAAATCTATAAAAGCAAAAATCTAAATTGATATATTTTGTATTTGTTCGATCATATGACAATGATACTGATGCAGTGCACAATTATTCAAAAAAGGCAAAGCAGTGGTAAAGTCAGCAGCATGGTGATTTTCAAAGGGTCTTTATATATATATATATATATATATATATATATATATATATATATATATATATATATTGTTTTTGCTGACATTTATCTATTCTTATAAACCATATTA